GTTGCATTAGTACGCTGTGCTGACCCATCTCTCACGATAGCACGTGTGTGGACCGAGACAGTCACTTGTTGGACATCTAGTGGACTTGCTGGCTGAAACTAAAATGGAATGAACTCTAATCTACACTAAAGGACGAGTATTCGCCGAAGATAAAATGGGCATCACTTTTTCACACCTAGCCATCTCATTTCGGACTTGGTCGCTGTTATACCATGTTGTGAGTAAATCGCAGCATTTGTCTCTGAATAACTTGAGAGCTACAAGGCCATCTCATTGCTCACATTTTTCGAAGTATCAAGAGAAATGAAGGCACGCCTCGCGCTCGAAAGTGGATAGCGCGGCACAAAATACTATGCCATAGTGCTGTGTAACCAGCCGGTAAAGAGGCAGCTAATGCGCAGTATTAGAACCCCCACGTTGAGCACGCTTCACTGTATAGGCAAAGACAAGAAACGGTCACAGGAGAGTTTAAATTGTTGTGGTGTCAGCTTTTTCTCCTTGTCACCTCACTCACAGCAACCGGAATGGAGAGAAAGCAGCGGAACAACACCAGCAGAAGGAAGTGTAGGAATTTGGGCGTCGCTGTGGCAAACTAGGGCGGAACCATGGCCTTGTCACAAGCCCCTATTTCTTCATGTGTTTTTGGGCAACGAAGGCAGTACGTCCTCAATGCAGACAGGACCGTCCGGCGCAGTTTGTCGACGGGGGGGCGGGGGGGGGGGCATTTTGCTTTCCATAGATGTGTCGACCCATCTAGGCAGCCGTTTCTCGAGTTGACACGTTTAGGATAGTGGCTAGACGATCTTACTTCAGCTTCACAAGAGTTCACAAGTTTTACCAGAGTGAGATTTGTAAACCGGAACTAGGGAAGCAATGATAATACAAAATGCCCCCCCCGTCGACAAACAGCGCCGGACCGTCCTTCCTGTATAAGGCGTCTGAACATCAAATGAACGGAGAGTGCCTTGAAGACAATGTATGGAGACACGAAATTGATGGAATGAAAGACACGGAATTGATTCTCGGTAAAAGTGGCGCCATTAATGCCGTGGTCAACGTTTTGAAGACTGACAGATTATGTTTGGTATCTGTTCACTAGGTTGAACTTTTCTTCAGCCCATGGTAGGTGGAATCAGCTTTACTTGCGACTACTTCGCGGCCAATAGCAGCGACTAGCTAAATATTGATAAGCAGACAGTATAAAGATCACCGGGTATGCAGGGATAAAATGGTATGCGCTCTACCAAAAAGTCGCTGTTTAGCTCGTAGAACGAAAAGACCAAAGTAGAAATGACTCTCCGCCCTTCACCAATGATGGAGTGTTCAAACTACTGGAAAAACGCTTACCATGCAGCTTAATCGGAAGGTATTCTTGGACTAGAAATGCAAAAAGGGAAACTTCATTCGGTGAAGGAGACGTTGCCCCAGCTATTCGATGAACAGAGAAGGTGACGTTAAATGAGTTCAATTTTTGTTCTACGAACTGAACAGCGATTTTTCAGTTGGACGCTTACCATTCCATCCTACTGTACTGTGTTCTACCGAATCCGAGTAATCTTTTCTCATAAAAGCTGATGAACTTGGTTGTGAAGTCGACGCGAGCAGAAGATCAGTTTAGTCTAGTGAATAGATGCCAGTGTGTGTAATCTATAGTCCCTCGGAACGTTGACACTATCTTATCGTCGCGAACACCACCGAGTATAGATGACACATGTCAGATTACTTGGTGTCCAATGATCAAACCCTTTCCTGAATGACTAGGAACACAGCAGTTCGTTTTGGCAACTTAAATAATATCTAAAACTTCAAAATTGGAAAACTGTGAGGAATGTAGTAGGTAAAAAAAGAAATTAGTCAATGAAAAAAATCCGCGAACCGCACGGTCTTCGGAAACAAATGTTGCTTTTGACTGCTATTTTACGCCTTCAGTTTACAGCAACACCTCTACTAATAGCTTTGTAAACTAGAACCAGATGAGTCGAACATTTGACTTGACTT